TAGACACAAAGACAATTTGAATATAAATTTTAAAACTTTAAATTAACATACAAAAGACTCCCAACTGATTCTCCACAAAGGTGTCATGAACATATATTATAGAACAACTGCAACTTCAATAAATGGTACAGGAAATACTGGATATACATATGCAGAAGGATAAAACTAGGTAATTATCTCTTCCCAGGTATGAAAACCTACTCAAAATTTAAAAGCACATAATTAAATGACCCACAAGTGTGAAATAGTTAGAGTAAGTCAGAGGGAAAACATTTCAAGAAATTTGTGTAGGCAAAAATATTATATGGTCAAGAATCCTAACACCAAGTCAAGAAAGCAAATATAGATAAATGGTAATATATATGAAACTAAGAAGAATTTGCACAGCAAAGAAATGATCAAGCATGTTAGGAGATAATCCACAGAAACATTTGAAAACTGTTTCACAAAGGGCTAATATCCAGAATGTATAAGGAACTCAAACAAACTCAACATCAAAATAAGTCATCCAACCAAAAATGAGCAAACCACATGAATGCCAATTTGTGGAAACAGCCAAGATGCCCCACTACTGATGAATGGATTAAGAAAATGTGGTATTTATACACAATAGGATTTTACTCAGCCACAAAGAAGAATGAAATTTTGTCATTCGCAAGTAAATGGAAGGAACTGGACAACATCATCTTAAGCAAAGTGAGCCAAGCTCAGATGCTCTCCCACATATGTGGACTTCTGACCTAAAACAAATGCAGTAATATTATTGGACATGAGTCACATGCTAAGGGGAGAATGCATACAGGAGGAATAGGGAAAGGTTGGAAACGCAAAACATAAAAGTGTTTGATATGTCCACTATAGTAGAGCAACTAAAGTAATCTTAAATTGACAGAGGCCACTATGGGAATGTGACTTAGAGGTAGTGAAGAGGTCTAATAGAGATGAAGCAATTTGGGTTGTAATACACATATGCATGGAATAATGCTAGGAATCTCTCTGTATAACTATCTTTATCTCAAGCTAGCAAAAATGCTATGTGAGTCTTTTTCTCTCTTAAGCTCTTTCTTCAACAAAAGTGGAGAAGGGGGCAGAACAGGTTGTGCCTGGAAGTGAGGGGATTGGGGAGAGAGAGGAGTGCAGGGGGTAAGGAGGAGAGATGGCCCAAACAATGTATGCACATAGGAGGAAATGATAAACAATAAAAAAAAGATTTTTCTCATTTGAAAGACTTAAATCTTGCCAAGAATTCTTCTCTGTGACTCTTTTTTCCTGATTGGATTATGATTTGATCTATACATTGGGCAAGGATTTCATAAAAATCATAAATTCTTAAAGACTAATGAATTATTAATTTGCAATGGCTTTAGTAGTCTGGGATACTAATTGCACAAACTGGAAAATTGAAACTGAGACAAAAATTTTCTCATCACCAATATCTAACAGAAAAGCAAGCTTGTGTGAAAATCAGTATTTTTTTTAAAGTTAACACCAGAGCATCTGTAAATTAAAATCAGAGAAGAGGAGAATGTGTAGTTTGGTGAATAAGATTGTTGTAATTTCAAAATATGAAACAAGCAAATACTTCTAGTGAACAACGTATGCTTGGCACAAACTAGATTCCGCCAGGACATAATTTGAAACCTTGGTAATTCATTTGCCCCACCTGAGCCACAGTTTTCACAAATGTAAAGTAAGATGGAAACATTCCTATAGTTGTCAGTATGAAACCACCGAAAGCTCTTAGCAGTGCTTTGCAGACTGCTTAGCAGGCTGAAGGCATTAGTAGTGGTGACTACTTCTTGTCTTTTCATACATCTGTATTTCATATAGGTCTGTATGAGAAGAGCAAACTCATCCTATTCCTCTCTAACTGATAGAAAAATAAGAAAAAGAAAAAGGATAATCTTCCTGGAGAAGAGTCAGTATTAGATACATTTGACACTGATGATAATTCTGATTAATATTCAATTAGAAATTGATGGTTTTAAATATCTTGAACATCGATTAATAGTCATATACACGCTATGTGAAAGAATACAGTATATCCAATAGTGACTAATAGAGTATACATAAAATATACATATATGTGTGAATACACACACATATCTAATTTGAGAATTCCTATATGTGCCACACTCCCCTTTTCTCTCTGCTTTCTACTCTCATATCACAACAGTGTCCTACCTCCCCAGTGCAAAAACCCCCAGGTGCTCTCCTCACTCCTCACTAACCTGCCTTATTCATTCATACAACTGCTTCCTCTTTCAACTTGGTTTTTCACTGTCAATTTTCCTTAAAGTATACAAATCATCAAGTGAAAGCAGAAATTGAAAGTTTTGAGTTCGATAGAATCTCCCGTATGAGAGGGTGTTTCCCCTCTCTTGGTAGATATATTTGGAAGTGAGGGTATGTCCCCACTACAATGATGTAATAGCATCTGTAGCTAAAAGAAAACAGAAAGCTGGATCCCTTTTACCCTAGAGGCTATTAAAATATTTACCAAGAAAGAAGCCACCTACTGGCCAAGGCAGCCAAACACAAGGACCAAATCCAGCAATCAGGATTCTTTGTTATGAATTATGTCCCTCTCTAGAGTTAAAAATGATCTATTTACTTTTCTCTAGAACGTAGCAGAACTAACATTATCTCAAAAAACACATTCCCTTGCCCTACAAAACAATGAACAACAACACTTTGAATTTGAGGTTACTCTTTTGCCTGACGACGTCTCTGTTCTATTGATTTCACAATGTAGCCTCTTCTTGCATCATAAATCCCATGCCAATTTCTATTCTTCACTTCCTTTAATGGACCCTTCCAGACAAGCTGTTATCAAAATTATTCCTAAAGTTTTGACCTTGGATCATCGGTGTGTTTGAAATAATTCATCTATCCAGAGTTATTCTCTCTAAAGTTGTGTACATGACCTTAACAAGAATAGAGCTATTTATAGGGCATAGTAAATGCGTTCAAAGACCTTAGAACATTGGTTGTTCTATAGTTAGTATGCAATAATTTTTGTAATTTTTGTTGCTATCATTAGAATTTCATTATTTGCAGTAATAATGTTAGTGTTATTCAGATTAACAGCAAAGTTTTGAGATCATGTAAATCTCCCTTTTTTTTCATTTCTAGGATTCTGAAACCAGTATTTTCATTGCCTGAGTGGATTATTAATGAGGTGCAATGTTCAGGCAAGGCTATATCCAAAACCCTGCCAGGCAGGGCTAGTGTTCTACTAACTGGAGTCAGGTAACTGGTCCCCTGTGTGTTGTTTGTTTTGATCCTCCCTTCTCTCCTCAAAGTTATCACTTCTCCATTAAAAGAGAATAAAGTCACGCGAAGAAAGCTAAGGGAGAACTCAGACATAGCAGAGGCTCTTCTTTGAGCCTCAGTCAGAAGCAGCCGTTTTCCTGGCTTTGTGCTTTTTAGCATTGGCCATCAGTCTTGTTCCTACCATAGCCAACAGTTCACAAGACTGATGAATTGAATTTTGCTAATTTATATTTGCCCTTTTGACAATGAAGGTCAAATTTAGACTATTAGGAAGGTACAAAAATTAAAATGAAAATTTATAAATTAGTAAAGTGTTAAATGTTATATCTCCCTGACTGAATAGTCTGGACCTCTCTACAGTGCATTGATAGTATTAAACAGAGACAGGTGCAAAAACACTACTAGAATCAGCATGACTGGAAAACATCTGGAGGTTACAACTTCCTCTGTAATAAGCTACCAGTGAAGGTCACTGTCATCAATGAATATTGTCTGTCCACCTCAGAAACTACAAGCTGACCAAATGTTCATCATTTAAGTGTTGATTATAAAAATTGTATTTAACATAAAAGAGCAATGGTCTACTAAAAATAAGACAAAAATTGGAAAATTTTCCCAACAACACAGACAAAACAAACAGTTGCTACAAGCATCTGAGAAATCTCAACATTTGACACCTGGGAACATGGATCACTATTGGAAACAAAGGCTCTTCACATAAACACCAGTGACAAGAGCAATGATCTTCTAGGTCTTATTATTTGGGGAACCAAGAAAACCTCAACTTTAGTGAATGAGATCTGAAGTCATTGGGAATAGAAGAGTGTGAGCTTAGGACAATTGTCATTCTACAGCACAGGGTCTAGATGTAATCTGTGAGTGAGCTGGATCTGAGGAAATGACAATGCCTTGGAGTCAACACCTACACACATGTGAAAACAACCAGGATTCAGACTACAAGTAATTGTTGTAGCTTGAGCAGCATGGTTGACCTTGGTAAGAAGATGATGGACACAAGGGGCAATGTCTGCATAAATCCTGACCATGGGACCCCAGGGAAGCACAACCACATGAACCTACATGAATGTGTTCTAGAAGGAGAGAAACACCAAAGAAGATCATTCCCCAGTAATCATCAGCCTCCAAAGGGAATAAAATAGGAACCAATACCATTCTTAATCTTAAACAGTTTATTTTCCCTGAAAGGTATGGCAAATCCCCTCTCAATTGCAGAAACCCATAAGGTTAAGGGACCTGGCTTTCCTTATAAAGGAAGGAAGGTAAAATTGAAGGTGAAGATCAGGAATAAAATTTTTTTTCTGGAACAAAAACTGTTATTTATATATGAAATATATATGTACATATGTATATACAAATATGTGCATGTGTGGATGAGTGTTTACACATGTGTATACATTTCACTTTATGCCATAGATGCTTCTCTTTGGATTGAGAAGTCCATTTGGATTGACCTATCTGAAGTTTATGGGGAAAATTCACTTTCTATGAAAAATTAGTATATTAGACTTATGTTTTAGGCCATACAGAGAACACATAAATGAAAACAAAAAAGGAAGTAAAAGTGTAGAGATAGGTTCAGAAAATGAAAATTATGTTTCCTACTTCTTAAAAGCCATGCATAGACAGAAAGTCTTCACAGAACCTAGGAGGCAAGGTTCACTGAGCTCTCAACTCAGGCAGACCAGCAGCATCTTCAATTCCCCATGGCCCTCCTGTTCCCCCTACTGACTCTCCTGGTGCTGTGCAGCTATGGACCTGTTGGATCTCTGGGCTGTGACCTGCCTCAGAACTCTGTGTTGCTTAGTAGGAAGATCTTTGACACACTGGATCAAATGAAGAGGATCTCCCCTCTCTTGTGTCTGAAGGACAGAAGGGACTTCCAGTTCCCCCGGGAGATAGTGAATAGTAGCCAGTTCCATAAGGTTCAGGCTATGTCTGTCCTCCACTTGATACTCCAGCAGATCTCCAACCTCTTTCACACAATGCACTCAACTGCTGCCTGGAACATGACCCTCCTGAATGAACTCCACACTGGACTCCATCAGCAGCTAAAGGATGTAAGGACTTGCTTGGTGCCAGTGATGGGAGAGGAAGATTCTGTCTTGGCAACTGAGGATCCCACACTGAACTTAAAGAAATACTTCCAGGGAATTCGTCTCTACCTGGAAGAGAAGAAATACAGTGACTGTGCCTGGGAAATCGTCCGGGTGGAAATCATGAGAGCCTGGTCCTCAATAGCAAAGTTGCATGAAAAGATAACAAGCAAGGATGGAGACCTGGCATCATCTTGAAAAGATTCTCCTTCACAATTCTGACAGCTCAGTCTTGCACATGTACTTTTGGTCATTTTATAGACTCTTATTTCTGCTTTAGTCACATTTTATGGACTTAAATTTAGCAAATGCTATTATTAAATACTTTAATAATATTTAGCTAGTATATGTCAAAAATGTTCATTTCAAGGGTCACCAGTAACTGACAGATAATGTGACTGATTTTATTTATTTAATAATTTATTATTTCCACTCCTTTTTCTGTGTTATATTTATAACATGTCTATGTTATGCACGTAAGAACATGTTCATCTTTATATTCCATTTTAATTAATAAAATATTTATAGTTACATATTATTCACTGTGCATCTAGTTTATTAATATGACTCATATCACCAAAGCTTCTTATGTTTCTTATTATAAAACAAACTTATCAACTTTTTTTGTAAACGAAGTAAAGACACAATGGTAATATTTGTTGATATCATGGATCTGTAAATTGAGTAAATGTCAGATCATGGCAATTATTTCAAGAAATAAATGTGACTAAGGAAAGCTGTTCCTGATGTTTGGAGCTCTCAGTAGTAGTGTGAAGGAGATAAACAATAATTACTAATGCTTGTTTTACTTCAGTTAAATGGTATAGAGAAATTAAGAAAAATTATCTCTTACTAGAAGTTTTTGAATGAATAATTCCTGGAGGTATTTTTTTTAAAAAGTAGACTTCCTTTTCAGTGTGCTTTGGTGACATGAAAGTGAAAATTCTGATGGACTTCTGCAGAAGAAAAGGAAATTAATGAAATTTCTGAAAAACAATTTTGAAAGCAATGTTCAAAGGAAACACAATGAGGTATCAGAGAATACAATGAGACCACAAATAAAATAAAGAGGCAATTCATGCCAGGCACAGGTGGCTCATGCCTGTAATCCTAGCTATTCGGGAGGCAGAGATAAGGAGGATCATGATTCAAAGCCAGCCTGGGCAAATAGTGCAGCAAGACCTTATCTTGTAAAACTCTTCAGAAAAACAGGACTGGTGGAGTGACTCAAGGTGAAGGCCCTGAATTCAAGCCCCAGTACCACAAAAAAAGAAGGCAATTCATGATATGAGTGAGAAATTCATCAATTAGAGAGTATGAAAAAGAGCACAGCAGAAATCTTAGAACTGAAAATTAAATGAGAAATTCAGAAAAGAGATGAGTATCAAAATGAATGAAACAGAAATCTTGGGGTAGAAAAGCTCAGTAAATCAAATAAGTTTATATTGACTAGTTAAAGCTGAAAAAAAAGAATTTCTGAACTTGAAGGCAAGTCATTTGATATATCCCAATGAGGTGAAAAAAAAGAAAAGGTAGGAAGGAAGTCAAGAAAGGAATAAAGAAAGGAAAGAAGGATCAAAGGAAGGAAAGATTCAGAAAGGAAGAAAATGAAGAAAGGCTTTGAGAAATATAGGAAACTATTAAACAAAAAGTTTGAATTATGGGCATTCCAGAAGACCAAAGGAAGGGAAGTCATAAAAACCTCTTCAATGAAATAATAGCTAAAATATCCATAACCTTGGGGAAAATGTAGACATCTGGGTTCAAGAGAGAAAAAGGATACCAAATAGATTGGTTTAAAGCATATTATACTTGAGTTGTCAGAACTTCTACATGAAGAGAGATATTGGAAAGCCCCAAGTAAGAACACAGGACCAAGGCACATTTAAGGGAACACCATTAGACTGACAGCAGATTTCTCAATGGAAACTGTATGAGCCATGAGGGAAGGGGATGACATATGAAAAATTCTGACAGAAACAATACCTGCCAACCAACAGCATTATACCCAGCAAAGCTACCATTCAGAAATAAAGGAGAAATACTTTCTAAGACAAATACAAATGGAGGGAATTCACCACCACTCAACCTGAACTACAACAAATACTTAAAGGAATCCTGCATCTGGAAATAAAAGGATGATAACTACCATCATGAAAGCACATAAAAGGATAAGAGTCACTAGTAAAGAAGACACACAAATGAAAAAAGAGAAAATAACCAACCCCTACTTCTTAAGTAAAACACCAGACTACCAACATACACAATAAGAGATAAAAAATGGGACACAGTATTTTTAAACAATAGAACAACAAAACAGTAGGAATAAATTCTTAGTTTTCAATAATAACCTCTTATTTTTTTAGTGGTACTGGGATATGAACTCAGGACTTTGAGCTTTCAAAGCAGGTGCTCTACCAGTTGAGCCATGTCTCCAGCCCTATTATCAATCATAAGCTTTAATAAAAGTGTCTCAAATTCCTCAATCAATGATATAGAATTTTGAATAGACAAAAAACAAAATGAACTATATGTAGCATACCAGAAACTCACTATATGTGTAAAGAAACACATAACCTAAAGTGAGAGTTGGAAAAAGATGCTCCACAAACTTGAAAAGCAAAAGTGAATAGTAATAACTCGGCTTAGATCAAATAGACTTTAACTTAAAAACAATAAAAAAAGAGAAAGAAGGCTGGTACATAATGAAAAGGGGATTAATTCAATGGGAAGAAATAACAATTACAAACACATATGCACTCCGTGATGAAGCATCAATTAAATAAAGCAAACATTAGTAGAAAAGATTTCAATAAAATAATAGCTGGGAACTCTAATACCCCACTTTCTTTTATAGACAGATCACACAGACCAAAAATTAACCAAATTCATTGTGTTTAACTATACAATAGATCAATTGGACATAACACACATTTACAGAAAATTTAAGTCAATACCTAAAGAATCCACATGCGATCTCATTGGGAGGTTCATTAAACCACAAAAGATCCAGAAAAGCCAAAACAATCCTGAACAAAGACAAAGCTGGAGGTACTGCAATGTTGGATTTCAAAAGATTATACGAAGCAATTCTACTCAAAGCACATGGTGGTGTTAAGAAAATTGACACATGAACCTACGGAATATAATAGAAAAACTTAAAATTAACCCACAACATAACACCAACTGATTTTTCACAAAGATGTCAAGAATATACATTGGACAAATAACTGTCTCTTCAATAATGATGCTGGGAAAAGTGGTTATACATATAAAGAAGAATAAAACTAGATCTCTATCCTTCACTGGCAACAAAAACCAACAGCAAATGGACCAAGACACAAATGAATGACTCAAAATTACCAAACTGCTGGAGGAAATCATGGAGGAAACACTTTAAAACACTGGTGCATGCAAAGTTTTTAGATAAGGATCCTAACCCACAGGCAACAAATGCAAATATAGATGGGTGGGATTACGTGTGAAATGTAGAAGATTCTACATAGAAAAGGAAATAACCAATAGGTTTAAGAGACAATGTGCAAAATGGGGGGAAATATTTTAAAACTTTTCATCCAAAAGTTTGGTTAATATTTAAAATACATAAGAAATGAAGAAAACTCAGAAATGAAAAAGTACTTTAATTAAATAATGGACAAATTATATTAATTTACATTTCTCAAATGAATATACAAAAATATCCAATATGTATATCAAAAGTATTTCATCCCACTAACAATTAGGGAAATTGAACTAAAAAAATGAGCTCACCCAGTTACAGTAGATATTACAAAAAAGACAAAAACTTCAAATCCTGATAAGAATTCATATAAAAGCACAAAGTTATATATGCTTATTGAAGATCTAGATTAGAAGAGCCTTTCTTGAAAACACTAGGAGCTTCCTCAAGAAAACCTGAAAACAGGACTACTATATGAGTTTACTATCCCACTATAAGATAAATAAACCAAAACTAAAATAACTTTTCAATGAAATAGCTGCATGCCCATGTTTATTGATGAACTACTCACAATAGCAAAGATACAGAATCAATTGTGATGTCTGTCAATGGAAAGAAAGATATTGAAAAGGTAGTATATACACACAATGCAATATTACCTAGTCATAAATAAGATGAAATGTTGTCATTTAGAACAATGTGGATGGATGGGCAGAGAAAGAAAAATATCCATTTTCTTTTCTTAATAGTGAGGCTAAAAATGTTGGTCACATAAAAGTGAAGAGTAGACTAGAGACCACTAGAGGATAAGGATGGGGGGTAATGTGGGGACAAAGACAGAGTGGTAAAAGGTACCTGAAGACAGAGGGAGGGAGGAAGCTCTAATATCCCATACCACATTAAAATAAATGAAATCTATAGTAATTAATTTTACAAAACTTCCATAGAATACACAAAATTAATTTTATTATTTTTTTCATGAAATAATTACAGAAGAGTTTTGAAGTCTCTGAACACATAGAAACGAACACATTTGAGGAGAAATACCAGTTACACTGATTTGATAATTAAAGGTTGTTTACACAAGCCAAATTACAATACTATATCCCATAAAGAAGTATAAACATCATATGTTTGTTGAAAACAAAAATTAATAAATATGATAAGATATACCTTACATAAAATCTATTGATTTAACATTTAAGATACACAGTTCAATAGTGTTAATTAATTATATGGTATGGTTTATACCTGAAATGTCCTGTGAAATTTCATGTGTAGAATCCTTGGTCCTCAATGAGACAGTTTTCCGAGGTTGGCTCTTGAAAGATGATTGGATCATGAGGGCTCTAACTTCATCTATGAGTTACTGATGAATTCACAGCTGAATGGACTAACAGGAGGTAAGGCCTAGTTGGATGATGAATGTCCCTGGTGCCATAACAATGAGAAGTATATCTTGTCATGAGGAAATGTACAACCTCCTCCAACAATTGCTTCTGCTATCATGATGCTCTGTTTTTCCCAGACCCAAAATAATGAATCCAGCCAATAATGGACTGAAACCTCCAAACCCTTTCCACTTTCAGGTTGTCATATGACAGAAAACTGAATAACACAATATATTCATTCTGTTATTCCACTAATTCCCAGACCTTTTTCATTTTGCAAAATTAAAACTTTGCATGCACTAAATATCAACTTACCATTTTGGCCTATCTTCCCTTTAGAATCTATC